TTGTGTGGCCGCCCAGGCAAGCGCATCTTAGAGGGACTATCCGTGGACCACCCGAATGGAGAGTGGTCCGCAGACGTTTGAGAACCTCTGCACTAGACCTTCCTTTATGAGTTCTAGCCAAAAGACAATGGCAAGTGCTCTATAACCACCAATTAAACACTATTTTAGAGACCTGTGGTATCCCAAGAACAATACTGTGTTGACATCAGCATTGATGTTCAGAAGAGACAAGTCTAGCCATCAAGACTAGCTAGAAAACACCAAATACTACATCTAGAAGATTTCTATTAGTGAGTTATAAATAGCTTCTGATACCACACAAGCCCCTGGGTCCCCATGCCATTCCCCCCCACCCAAAATACACATTCCTATTTTCAAAATTTTTTCCTCTCTTGTGTGAAAGCCATAATACATGTGCATGACAGCATTCTGCAAAGTAAGACTGAAAAATAAGAAATATTCCTGTAGTCTTAGGTTTTGCTTGTAAACCACATTTCTGTCTAAAATCTTTGGTTTAAGTTACCCTTCTAAGGGGTTTAAGAATACAATAATCTAACTCATGAGTAGAGCTGGTTGAAAGTTTTCCAAGAAAATATTTTTCCATTGGAAAAATGTCAATTTGTTGATATAGAAATATTCCATTCTACAGGAATGTGTTGATTTTGACAAAATTGTTTCTAAAATGACTTTTGAAATTCTCTTTTTAAATGTGCCTATGTTGTAACAACAAAAATTACACAATAGCACAACAAAAACAGAAAGCGTTTGTCCTTAATAGCTAAAGGAATCTACCTGTCTGATGCCAAATAAGTGTTTGTCTGTATATGTTTTGCTTGCAATGGCACCCGAGTGCCACAGAATATGCTCCAAGAAGAAAGTCTGGGATATACACCTTAATACTCTTAAAACTGCCTTCACCAAACAAGGATATTCCACCAAAGAAGTAGATGGCATCATAAGACAGGTTACCATGAGTCCCTGAAAGAACCCGCTCCAATACAGCAAAAACCCACTGATCACAAAACCCCTGCTTGTCAGCTACCACCCCACACTAAAACCCATACAGCATATCAAATAATGACAGGACATTCAGGAAGTGCTCCCCATCAAGACAGACATCTTTCCCAAAACCCTTGTTCTGGCCTTCAAAGAACCCCACCCCCAAACCTCACCAGAAACCAGCGCCCCACGGACCAGGCCACCCCAGACCGGATGCAAAACCTGCAGCCTCATCTCCACTCCTCTATTAACCCCCAACCCCCCAACACACGGCCCCCATTTTGATTTGGTCAAAACTTCAGCAAACGTGCCAGCTGAGTCAGGGCTGAGAGACGGGCCTGGACCCCCCGCCCGCCGCTCCTAGCGGCAGGCACCGAGCTCAGAGCCAGGCACGAAGCCCGAGGAGCTGAGCTTCCCCCAGCTGCTCGCCCCTGCACCCCCAAGGCGCGGGGCCCCCAAGACAGACACCCCCAGGGACCCACTAATGCCGCCCCGCCCCACAGGCGGAGACCCCCGCCGGGGAAGGAGCCCGCCGGGCGGAGGCGGCCTAGGGCCTCATCCCCCCTGCAGCTTGGGACGGCGGGAAAAACCTGAGCTCTCGAGGGGCGAAGGGGCCCCGTTGCTCAGGAGCCAACCGGGCCGAAACCCACCTACCACCGCTACCGCCAACCCCAGCCTCGTTCTGCTCGACAGTCTCCACCACACCGCTTAGCTCCGCCGTTAACGAGTTTGAACAACGGTCCCTAGTCCAAACTCACCAATCACCGCGGGCTGTCGTCCCCATCGACCGTGCAGATTGGACAAGTCGCGGGAAGGGGCGGGAAGAAGCCGAGTACCCGGATGAAAACAAGCCCGCCCTGCTCTCCCATGACACCAACTGCCATTACGGAGACTTCTGGAACATGTAGTCTCTAGACTGAGGGAGGTTTGCACGGCAGCCGAGCGGGGAAACCACACCTCCCAGAAGGCATCAGGAGCCAGAGTGCGTGGCCAATCCGAGAAGGAACTTTCAACGTTGAGGTTGAAGTGGCCAATCAGCTTTTAGTAAGTAAGGCGCTGTTTGACTACGTTCCAGGGGGAGGGGCAATTGGTGGCTGGATTATTCCATTGTGAATCCGAGAGGTAACTATGGAGGTAGTTATGGCCCACCTGTTGATCACTTTAGATAAGCTATTACCAGCAGGACAGTGGGGTGGGAGGAGGTATTGTTTCATATTCTCTGTGTGTATATAAAGTCTGCTGCAGTTTCCACGGTATACATCTGATGAAGTGAGCTGTAGCTCACGAAAGCTCATGCTCAAATAAATTGGTTAGTCTCTAAGGTGCCACAAATACTCCTTTTCTTTTTATGGAGGTAGGGCAGCTGACACTGGTACATGGGCTATCCCTATAACCAACCCTTCCCCCAACTCAGTGGGGTGCCATGTCTCCCTTCCCCTCCAGCCCCCATTGGTCTCCCCCAGCCTAGGGCCTTATGAAGGCTCAGACAGGGAACAGAGAAGAAGTTCCTAAGAAAAGGGCTTCCTAGGGGAGCAGGTGGGAGAATTCACTAGGAAAGAAAACGGGGGAAGGTTTCAGAGGAGCAGCCGTGTTAGTCTGTATTCGCAAAAAGAAAAGGAGGACCTGTGGCACCTTAGAGACCAACCAATTTATCTGCGCATGCTCGGGGGTTGCATAACTAGTTAGCATGCCAGAGTCTCCTTCGTTATCGGAATTAGTTATGTGACCCCCGAGCATGCTCAAATAAACGGGGGAAGAGTACTCCTAGCAGGAAGAGGATCTGGAAGGAAAGACCTGTAAATACCAAGCCCTAACAAAACCTAGTGCCAGCAAGAGGATTTCACCAGGTAGTAGTGGGAACTCCAGCTCGCAAAGGAATTATATGCTGTTCTGGAGAAGGGTTCCCTTGGCTTGAACTCTGCAGGAACCTTGAACCCAGATGAGAAATGCTTTCGTACTTGATGACAAGAGGCACTGACTCCAGTAGAGGGTCCTGGGTCAAGAGGCCTCAGTGGTAAGGAGCCTGTATGGAGGAGGTGGATGGACTAAAACTAACTCAGTCCCCTTTGGGCGAAGGTTTACATGTGTAACACATTCTGCCATTGGATTAAATAAACTACACACCTGAAGGGGTACAGGGCAATATATATAAGCCTCTTGGGACTTTAGTGAAAGTACACTATGGGACAGTAAGGCTGAGATGCAACTGCAGTTCTGCACAGGACGGGCATGGGACACTCCTCGGGTGACTGCCTACCATTACAGGGGCCAATATGAACATATGTAAGGAACTCACCCAGGAATAAGGACTACTGCAAACCTTCCCATCTTTTGCAGCAAACTCCAAGCAGGGGTGCTGGAACAATTTGTATAGTGGGAGTGCTGACAGCCATTGATCAAACTGTAAGCCCTGTATATGATGGAAACAAACTTGAAACCAGGGAGTGTGGCAGCACCCTAGTTCCAGCACCTGTGAACCCAGGGTGCCAGCCCCCCTCTTGGCCAATACACTGAGGATTAAACTGGAGATCTCCAGAGCTGAAAAGATCAGCTGTTACAACTTGAGCTACTGCAGCTGGGGACTGTAACAACTCATATCCGCTGTAGACAGGCACAGAGGGGAACTTGAAACACACAGTCATCACTGGATTACACCATGCACACTTTGACCTGCCTGAACTAACAGATGCAGAGTAGCATGTACACAATTAAAAAACCCCAGCAAGACCTGAGATATAATTCTTCTACTCTATTCCATGCTGATAAGGCCTCAGCTGGAGTATCATGTTGAGTTTTGGGTACCACATTTCAGGAAAGATGTAGACAAATTGGAGAAAGTCCAGAGGAGACTAGAATAAATGATTAAAGGCCTAGAAAACATGACCTATGAGGAAAGATTTAAAACACTGGGTTTGTTTAGTCTGAAGAAAAGAAGACAGAGGGGGACATCAGTTTTCGAGTACGTAAAAAGTTGTGACAAGGAAGAGAGTGAAAAATTGTTCTCCTTAACCTCTGAGATAAGAGGCAATGGTCTTAAATTGCAGCAAGGGTGGTTTAGGTTGGACATTAGGACAGATTGCCTACAGGGAGGTTGTAAAATCTCCAGCAGTGCAGGTTTTTAAGAACAGGTTAGACACCTTAGGGATGGTTTCAGAGTAACAGCCGTGTTAGTCTGTATTCGCAAAAAGAACAGGAGGACTTGTGGCACCTTAGAGACCAACCCATTTATTTGAGCATAAGCTTTCGTGAGCTACAGCTCACTTCATCGGATGGTCTCAGTCCTGCTGTGAGCCCAGGAGCTGGGACTAGATGACCTAATGAGGTCCCTTCTGGGCCTCCCCTAGTGAGTCTATGGAAAGGCTGCACTGCACCCCCACTTCTTTCTGCCTGGGGAGGGAAAGAGCTGGGACAAACCTTACATGTGGGGTGACCAGCTCTGCTGATTTTATAGGGACGGTCCCCTTAGTGGGGGCTTTGTCCAAAATAGGAGTCTACTACACCCCACCCCCCCTCCTGATGTTTCGCACTTGCTGCCTGGTGGCCCTGCAGAGGTGACTGAGGCAGCCCGGGGCTTTCCCGCTGGGGTGGAGGCCCCGCAGGCTGCAGGCGGGGCTGGCCCACGCAGGACACCCAAGCCCACAGGGCCCAGCCGCTCCAGCTGGGCGTGGCCCAGCCTGCCAGCCGCATAGTGACCTCACGGGGCGCTCATGGCACGGAGCGGGCCGCGCGACGCCGTCCCTTTAAAGCGCCACTTCCCCAGGGCGGCCACGCGGGGTCGCCCGAGCCTGCGCTCCGTCACAGCCGCCCGCTGGGTTGCGCGTGCTCACCAGTTCCTGCGTGCGCAGCCGCACGCTCAGCGCAACACATCTCGCGCATGGGTATTAACGCCCAGGCCTGGCCGGAAGTCCCCGCCCCCAGCGTGAGACCCTTTCGTGCATGCGCACTCCCCTCTCCGCCCCACCCTGCCCTGCCCAGCCAAGGTGGCCGTTGGGGGAGGGGCAGGGCAAGGCAGGAGGCCGCTGAAGCGGCTCCGGCCCCGCGGGCTCCCAGCGATCTCTGCCCCGGCGTCCTCCTCCGCCGGGGGGCGGGGAGCAGGGGGCAGGGCTCTTCGCCGGCCTCCGAGGTGAGAGCGGAGGGGGGCAGGCGAGGCGTGAGTGACAGCTGGGTGCTGCCAATGGTGGGGGATGCCTGTTGGCCCCGCCCCTGAGCCCAGGGGCGGGGCCATGGGGGGCAGAGGTGGGGAGGGGAAGGGAAAGGAAGTGGGGGGCTCCCTGTCTCCATCTCCACAGTGTGTCTTTTTTTTTTTCTTGCTGTTTGTTCCCCTCCCAGTGCTGGGGGCTCTCCCCTGCAGGGCCTTGGGCTAGGGCGGGTCTCAGGTCCTGGGTTCCAGATAGTCCCTCATTCATCCCCTAAGCCTCTGCATGTGCGTGTCCTTTCCCCCCATCGCTCGGGGACAAGGGAACTGGAAGGCAGAACTCTTCCGTGACTTTGCCAAAGCCAAGAGATTAGGTGTATGGAAGGCAGGAGTCCTGTGCTTAGACCATCCTGCTACTCGTGGCTCAGAAATCACACTGGCTGCTCAGCAAAGAAGCCAATTCCTCTGTGGGCAACCAGCTAAGAGGGAGTTTCTGGTAGCATAGAGCCAGCAGCAGCAACTAATTGGTACCTCTCCCACAGCCATGAAAAAAGAGGATCCCCCCAAGAGTGGTTTGCCGGGGTCCCAACAGTCAGCCATGGATGCTTGTAGGAGACGATGAATAAGTTATGATCACTAGGACAAACTTCCAGCTCTCAGCATCAGTGAGTTACATCTGTAGGGTTTTCTTCACAATGAAGGGTGCTGGAACTTTAGCCTCCCTCCCGCCTCCAAAAAGTAACAAAGGCTAAGACCAAAAATGTTGCTGATTCACATGCAAGACCTATCAGGAGTTGGTGATATAGTACTGAGTGAGTGTCATTAATCTCAACAGATCCTGCAGCAATTAATCATGCTCACTCTCCTTTTCAACATATATGTGGGACCCATTGAAAAGTTTATGAAATGCCGTGTGTTCTAATTCTGCACCCTCTGCTGATGGCGTGTATCCCTCCAAACAACAAAGAAGTATGAACTCTTGGGTTCTCCTAGGTATACAGATTGCAACACTGGCAAGAAAGACCACCTTGCCAGGAGATTGCAGCTGTTTCTTTTGGATGAGTACTTAATCACTGTAATCAACTCTCTCCTAGCTTCTCAGTTAACTACTGTAACTCCACCCGGGTCTGAAAATGAAGAATACATAGAAATTCTAAATTGTGCAGCATGTAGCAGACTTTGTTTAAAGAAAGAAACCCCTAAGAGCTCACCACCTGGGGACTTAAAAGAGACCAGGGGCTCCCAGTTCATTCTAGAATATAAGAACAACCATTGTGGACAAGACCAATAGTTCTAGCCCAATAGCCTGTCTTCTCACAATGGCCACTGCCAGATTCTTCAGAAGAAATTAACAGAGCAGGGCAATTAACAAGCAGTCCATTTTCTGTCATCCAGTCCCAACTTCTAGCAGTCAGAGGTTTTGTGATACCCTGACCACCTTGGTTAATAGCCATTGGTGGACTTATCCTCCAGGAATTTATCTAAATTATTTTTTGAACCCAACTAATAATTCAGACAGGTGAATAGCAATCTTTTCTTTAAAGGAACACTACAGACTAGATTTTGATTATCTTTGAGATCACCTTGACATCTGTGACCCTGTGAAACAAATGGTGCTCCAAGCCAAGGGAATGCTCTGGCTGACAGAGTCCAGATGAAACTTGCAAGAGCAAAGCCATCTCAACAGCTGGAGTTCCTCAGCAGAGGATATAAGAACTAGCCCAAGCCTGTTTGCTTTCAGAGGATGATTTTAAGAGCTTCCAGTGCTGATGAAAGCAGGAGAATGAATTTAAAACAAAACAACAATAAAAACCTAGGACCTCTATGTAAGGTGTCTGAGCAAAGTATCAGAGTAGCAGCCATGTTAGTCTGTATCTGCAAAAAGAAAAGGAGTACTTGTGGCACCTTAGAGACTAACAAATAAATGTATTAGTCTCTAAGGTGCCACAAGTACTCCTTTTCTTTTTGAGCAAAGTATATTTGGCACCTAGATGCTGTGTTGAGGGGCTTACTACAAATGCCTGAGAGAGAGGGCAGCAGCAGGAGGGGACTCTTGCTATGTATAGAGTTCCAAAGATCTGGGGGCTGGAAAGGGGGTGGGGCAAGGGAAGGGTTAGAAGACTAGTGGGGGAGGGACATGAGGGATGGGGAGCAGGGCAGCTCAATGCATCTTGTGGGAGGGTCAGGGAGCTGCCTACTGCTGCTGAGTCAGTGGCTGTCTTTCTCCTCTACAGCTGGTCCGACAGGGGCAGTGAACTGAGATTTCCCAGGCCAGAGCTTTCTCCCAGCAGCTACTCTAGAGGGTGAGTAGAAACATGCATGTATGTTCTCTCTCCAACCCGTATTCTGATGGGGAGCCTATGTATCTTGTCTATTGTTACAGATCCTTGTGTAAAGGAGAGGTTTAGGTGAGGCCACTCTATGCTGCTTCCCCTTGTAGGACCTAGGGCAGGGTAGAAATGAGACAAGGAGAAGCTGCTCCTAGTAAAATCATAGAACTGAATAAAATGCTTTTAATAAAGAGTATTGAGATGAAAGTAACTTCATTCAGTGACTGGACTACCTGGTGATTTCTCTGTGAAACAATAAGATTTCTTAATACAATTGGTTACAGAAAGCGCTGAATATTTAGAATAACAGAAAACCCTGACCCCCTTTCCCCTATACATAGTGACTGTGTATTTGTGATGGTAAAACATTGAAAAAGAATGTCTCTGTAGGGTTATTTTTGTCCTTCTATTACTCTCGTGTTCTCTGGTAATATTTCAGGGTTTCCCTCAAAATTCAAGGGTGCCAAGTCTCTCTCACTTGTATATGTGATTGTATGCATTCCTTTTCCATGGAAACCTCCCTCTGCAATGATTAACTACCTCAGAAGTAATACAGCATAGATTTAATGTGCTTCTAGCCTTTACTTGCTTTTCATGGGCACTCTGAAACTATTATGTGACTTCCTCTCCTAACTTTTTCTAACAAAGTAGGGTTGAGGGTGTGACCCTATAACTGGGATCCCAGTAAAACACATAAGGGGTCTGTTATAGGATTTCCCCAAGGTTGTAGTGGCACTCAAATCCAGCAAAGAGGAACTGTGCGCCTTCAATACACCTGGAAGCTGGTGAAACTCAACCCAGGGCTAATCCTCCCTGGAATGGAAAAAGGAAAATGATGCTGTAAAGCTTTAAACAAGTCCCTGTGCAGGCTGGCAGCTGCTATTGTTCTAGACTGAGCCTGTCTAATTGTTGGAAAATGTTACTTGACAGGAGTGAGAGAGGGCTGCATTGTTCTTTTAGTGCAGAAGCAAATATTTCAAGGGACCTCACCCAGTAGTACCGGTCCCTTTAAAAAAAAAATCAGGGAGAGCTTTGATCTTCTCTGGGAGGCGGGGAGGAAGGGGGCGTGAGGGAGGGAGGGTTCTTCGCGTTCCTGCAGCAGAGCAGAGCTGCATGCACCACTCAATCAAGGTAATGGAGGAACAGGCAGAGGGTGAGCTCTTGGGGCTCCAAAGCCTTTTTCTTTGCTTTCAAATGTCGAGCCTGCAGTGTTGCATGATCACTTCAGCAAGAGCTGCTTTTTCTTCTGAGGCTTAGATTGAGACTAATCGGCAGTGGCTGGCTGGGCACTGAGCCCTTGTTGACCTTATGCAGAGGTGTAGAAACCCCTCAACCTTCTGCACAGCTACATGACAAAAGAGCTTTCAGGCTTTCCTTGGCTCATGTAGAGGTGGCTGAACTGATTGCATTTCATGTGCATGTGACTTGTGGCTGTTTTAGAAGCAAGTCCAAGGGTTTTCAGCCTAATTCTTATAGAAATTGATGGTTTTCCAACAGTTTTCTGAGGTTCTGCCTAATGTATAACTGCAAAAACACTTGAGGGTCTCAATTTAGGAAGAAGCTACGGATGTTAATGCCCCAAATGTGAGTATAATGTTGTATTAACAGTTTATTTGCCTCTCTTTTCCCTCTGAAGATTGTCTGCTCAGGGTTCAGATGTTTACCTTGACTCCAGAGGAGAGCAGAGTCTGGACCTGGTAAGCACATTGGTCAGCTTGTGTTCTGGACCATGGACTCCATGAGAATCCCCCTAATGTGAAAATGTCGAACACGAACAGAGAATTAGTGATTGACTTTCTCTCCTACAAGCTATCGCAGAGGGGATACAGCTGGAGTCGGTTTGAGGGGGAGGATGAGATCAGGACTGAGTCTGCAGAAGAGGCTGAGATGGCAAGCGTCCCTAATGGGAGTCCATCCTGGCATCCGGGTGCCAGCCACATAGTGAATGGGGCTGTCGGGCACAGTAACAGCCTTGAAGCCCACGAAAGGGTTCCAGCAACTGGAGTGAGGCAGGCGCTGAGAGAGGCAGGAGATGAGTTTGAATTGAGGTATCGGAGGGCCTTCAGTGACCTCACTTCCCAGCTCCACATCACCCCTGGCACGGCATACCAGAGCTTTGAGCAGGTGGTGAATGAACTCTTCCGGGACGGAGTGAACTGGGGGCGCATTGTGGCTTTTTTCTCCTTTGGAGGAGCCCTGTGTGTGGAGAGCGTTGACAAGGAGATGCAGGTGTTGGTTGGACGCATCGTCTCATGGATGACCACTTACCTGACTGACCACCTAGATCCCTGGATCCAAGAGAATGGCGGTTGGGTAAGAACATGTCTCACTTCCAAGGGGAGCGCGCTCCCCACTCATCCGACCTTATTGGCAGCTATAGTGCAAGTCTGATTAAAATGTAACTGGCTGAACACCTTGTGCATGCTAGTAATTGTCATAGATGTCCATAGTGAAACAAATGCAACTGGAATGGGCCTTTCCCTGCACATTCTTAGCGGTTTGCCACAAGGGGTCACTCCATTGTGGCAGAGCAAAAAGAATTGATACCATGCCCACCAACCAGGCCTGTCTGAATCACTCTTTCTTCTCGGCCTCCTTGGATGTTGGAGAAACTCTTTTGGCAGCCCCATAATCCAGGCTGGCTTTTGAGATGGAACCCCTTGTTCCTTAGCATGTCCGACAGTGGTTGGGAACCCAGCTCAGGACTGAACCTTCCTTCCACCTTTGTTAATGCAATGATCCTAAAATGCTGGGGGTGGGCTTTCCAGCCTAGTGAGATGGATTATATGCTAGCCCTCCACCTCTGGAGACAAGAATTCACCTTCTGATTTGCTCACAAATAAAGTAGGCCTTCTTTCCCTGGGTATCTGTCCTCCATGTAGTCCGAGAATTGAGGTACATGGCTAGCACTGCGTAAAGAGAGCCAGCCAAAACTCCTACTGCTGTATACCTGGCTCCAATCATGGTTGTTTCCCCCCTGCTCTCCTGAGCACCAAACTTGCGTACCCTTTTAATGGATTTGTGTTAACATGAGTAGGTGTTTCCAACTGAAGCTCTCAGTCTATTCTGCTCATCACCAGATGGCTTGCACTGTGGAACTTGGTGTGTCCAGGGGATTTTGCCAATGGGAGATATGTGGCCTGATGCTCTAGTTTATGACTTGTTTTAACTCCTGCATTCTGGTGGCTCTCTGTACTAGTACTGGCTGGACAGGGAGGACAGTTCCAACTACGAAAACAACGAGGAATCCAGTGGCACCTTAAAGACTAACAGATTTATTTGGGCAGAAGCTTTTGTGGGTAAAAAATCACTTCTTCAGCTACTGGCAGTGGAGTATTGTTTCCCTTGCCCATTGATGAGCTGTGGTTTTGAAAATTGTGTTCACCTTCATAGCCCCAAACCCACAACCAGTAGCCCACCCTGAAATCTAGAGGAGACTTGAGGAGGTGCTGGGGAGTATGGAGACAAGGTTCTTTCAGCCTGGCCTTGCTCTGCACCTGCTCCTGGCACAGGTGAATTCGATCTGCCTCTTGGAGCTCAGGGAAGCCCAGCATTGGATCCAGGATAAAGTAAAAGAGTGGAGGCAGAAGGGAGGATGTTGCGCCCAGGAATGCTTGGAATGCAGTTGTCCTGGGGCACTGCCTGGGCTGTGGCTACCCAAACAGACTGAATTTTGTTTCATGTTAATAACCAGGATTCTCACTGACCACCTCAGCAGGCTGTCCCTGGCCCATTAGCTCTCTAGCCTTGTAGATCACCCTAGCAGCAGCTAAATGCTAGGTTTCATCCCTCTCCTCTCCAGCTTTGGCTTTTAAAAACAGAGATTAGTCCTGGAATTGGGTGATCAAATGGAGGTTTCCCAGTCTCTGTGGCTGTTGCTGCTGGTGACGATCTGGTTGTATCCTGGAGACCTAGGCGATAATGCAATCTGACTTTGTAAATGAACTCCCTGGGAGATTTAGATTAAATCGCTGATGGAAAGTCACTGGTCTCTGCTTGTTGGGAATGCAGTACCCCTCCCCCACCCGGACTGAGTATCACAGTGTGCTTCCTTTTTGTCTGAGCACAAATTCATTGTTTGAAACAAATATTTGTTCAGCAGATTGCATGAGGGCAGGATTCCTCTGTGTCTGACACACCCACTGGCTCCTGCTCTTAAGATGGCTATTAGCCGTTTTTGTTTGTTTGTTTGCCAGACAGAGAAGCAGCTTTGCTCTGTCCTGGTATCCCTGATTGTGATTCTGGCTGGTTTGTATTGTTTGTTGCAAGCTGGCCGAACTATGTGACACAGCCGTTGGTGCAGGGAGGCGGTACAAATGCCCATGATGCCCAAAGAGAAGGTCTGGGCTGTTTCTGTAGGTTCTTCTACGCTGCCAGCTGTAGAAAAGATGCGGGATGCAGGTCCATTACAGGGGCTTTGAACCAGACACCAGACTGGAGCTTTGATAGGGTTAGTGGTGGTGCTTTTGGCTCCCCCCCCCCCCCCCCAGATTTCCCAATCTTGTTCCCTTTGTTCAGCTCTGCTGCTGCTAACGTTGGTGCTAATGTTAATATTGCATCACAACTGTTTGTAAAAGTTCAGCCATCCTAATAGGGGTGGAGGGTTATGGTTATCTTCTGTTTCACCTTCCCCTGCTTCTAGGTGCAGAGAGGAACCATTGGCCTCTTCCTAGGTAGTTCTGCCATGAGCCTTTAACCAGTGAGTGCTCCTCCTGGCCCAATGATGGAGTAATCTCTCTGTCACTGTCCTGTTTGCGCAGGGTTACTGCTCACCTACAGTGTGTATGGTGCATGCTGAGCAGCTATTGCCTGGCCCATTCACAAAAAGGTGCCATAGCCAAATCTCAAACAGAGGAATGCAAGTTCTGGCTGGCCTGCTCCTGGTATGTATCAAAATAGTTTGTTTTCTAGAAAAAACAAGGAGTCGTCCTTGTGGCACCTTAGAGACTAACACATTTATTTGGGCATAAGCTTTCGTGGACTAAAACCCACTTCATCAGATGCATGGAGTGGAACATACAGTACAAGGTGCCACAAGGACTCTTCGTTGTTTTTGCTGATACAGACTAACACAGCTACCTACCACTCTGAAATTTGTTTTCTAGAGAATCACAGCATTTTACTGCCTGCCAATCCCTGAGAGAGGGCAGGAGTAATACCAGACAGTCTTTTCGGGTAAGAGTTCCTGCTTTCCTGGTCCTGGTGAAAAAGAAAGAGCTGCTGTGATGCTTGGGATGGAGGGCCAGGGTGCCATGATCAGAGTGAAATCCTTGCTTTTTTAGAGTGGGCGTTAATAATGCTTTTCTGAGAGCTCCGTAAAGGCTGGGCGTGATTCATGATGAATGACTCATTTACATTTCTAATAGAGATCTGGTCAGAAAGTAAAGGCTGGAATTGAGGGTTCTGGCAACATCTGTGCAATTCCATGAATAAGTGGGAACTGGAGAATATACTTCTGTTTGCTGATGCTGACTGTCCTGTCTCTTGACTGGGGCATTGAGCTTTGTCCCATTGGAGTAACGCAGACAGTTCCCTAAAGTACTGATTTCCTGGATGCTTAACATGTAAACACCAAGGAGGCAAAGAAATTGAGGATGGCTCAGGGGAGTATAATGAGAAGTAATGGGTGAAGATTCACCAAAGGAAAGGTTAGGGTTCAGATTTCTCACTGGAAAGAACTATTAGTTGTATGCAATAGTGGAATATTTTCTCAAGAAAAATAATGCCAATAAAATTATCTGAAGTCTGAAAAACTGGACATCACTGGAAGAGGGATGGACTAGATGAAACCTCTTCCCCCTTCCTCTGACCTGCCCAACCCAGATTTTCCAGATGCTAAATGGTAGCCAGGTTGGACAAAGTCCTGCTGAGTTGCATTGCAGCAGGATGGAGTCTTGTGGTGCTTTGTGGAGAAAACCGTCTAGAAAATATGATTATGGAGAGTCTATTTTCTAATTGTCGGTTTTTTTGAATGATGGGAAATGACACAGACACTTGTCGTATGACAGCAAGTTGTGCTCTGCATACACCCTCTGCTTTCAGAGAGAAAACTTGAGACATTGCATCTCACCCTACAGTCAGACTTTTTGCTCCTCTTCATGTCTACTCCTATGATTAACCAATTTATTTGAGCATAAGCTTTCGTGAGCTACAGCTCACTTCATCGGATGCATACTGTGGAAAGTGTAGAAGATCTTTTTATACACTCAAAACATGAAAAAATACCTCCCCCCACCCCATTCTCCTGCTGGTAATAGCTTATCTAAAGTGATCACTCTCCTTACAATGTGTATGATAATCAAGTTGGGCCATTTCCAGCACAAATCCAGGTTTTCTCCCCCCCCCCCCCTTTTCTTTTTGCGAATACAGACTAACACGGCTGTTACTCTGACTCCTATGATTGCTATTCCACTGTGGGGATTGGGAATAACCATGTCGAGGCATTCATCTTGTTCTCTTAGAGACTGCTCGAGTGGACTCAGTGGTAGAGTTTGTGGCTGCTGAATTGGAATTAATTTGCAAACTGGATACAAAAAGAAAAGGAGTACTTGTGGCACCTTAGGGACTAACCAATTTATTTGAGCATAAGCTACTTAGGCTTGAATAGAGTCTGGGAGTGGATGGGTCATTACACAAAGTAAAACTATTTCCCTATGTTCATTCCTTCTCCCCCCCTCCTCCCCCCACTGTTCTTCAGAAGTGCTTGTCAAGTGCTGGAAATGGCCCACCTTGATTATCACTACAAAAGGTGTCGTCCCCCCCCCCCCTTTGCTGGTAATAGTTCACCTTTACAGGTTTCAGAGGAACAGCCCTGTTAGTCTGTATTCGCAAAAAGAAAAGGAGTACTTGTGCCACAAGTACTCCTTTTCAGTTCACCTTTAGTGATCACTCTCCTTGCAGTGTGTATGGTGACACCTATTGTTTCATGTTCTCTGTGTATATAAATCTCCCCACTGTATTTTCCACTGCATGCATCCGATGAAGTGAGCTGTAGCTCACGAAAGCTCATGCTCAAATAAATTCGTTAGTCTCTAAGGTGCCACAGGTCCTCCTTTTCTTTTTGTGTGCAGATGCTAAATCCCTGCTTGGGTTGGATGAACAAACCAGATGTGATCTCAAGCCCTCCTATCCTGGTATGCCGATCTCTGTTCCTAGCATGTAGGACTCCCATTGCCATCTAATGGAGTTTGTATCTTTAATTATGCCTATTTAGACCTTTCTGCTCGGGCAGTGAGAGGTTCACTGGCTGATCAAACAGCTTGGATAACCAAGATTTGGTGTGTAGTTAACACTGTGAGATTAACTCCTGTTGGAGTAAGCATTGATTCAAATAGGTATATTATATGTTTAAAAGAGCTTTATAGAATCCACTACATTTTTCAAGGAAATGCAGCTATCTCTGGGTGGAATGTAGTCATTTAACACACAGCAACACTGTAAAACAGCTCAAAGACATGGAATGAAGACTAGGTACTTGGGTACCACAGTGATGAGCACAGTATAAATACCAAAATAGAAGAATACCATATTCTTATTAAGTTACAAGGGAAATCCATGTGGGTCAAATACAATTATGCAAACTGGACTGTGGCTAGGGTACCAAAATTAATATTCAGACTCTTATACAGAAGTGCCATGGGATCTTTAATGGCCATAAGTTGTCAGTATGACATCTTGGACAAAGGATGGTATCTCCAGGTGCACAGACCGCTTTAGGGTCTTCTCTGAGAACGCACGTTTTCCCTCTTTGTGACAGAGAAGTGCTCTCTAACTGTAAGGCTCCTGCATTATCAGGCAACTGGCTTTCCCTATTTTCTTTGCTCCTCCTGTCTTCCAAACAAATATCCCACCCATTCATCTACTCTGCATGCTATCTAGGGCTGGGGAAAGATGTCTCTCTAGGCATCACCTGCCTGGGTTAAATAAATATTTTTCTGAACACCAGATGGTTCTCTTCTCTCCCAGCTGAAGCCCTGAAGATTCTGTCTTCTCTTCCATCAGATTCAGTCACACTTGTGTGGAGCAGGGAGGGTGTATCCAGGCACTCCCTGCAATCATGATGATCAGTTCCCGCAGAAGACTAACTCAGTACCAGGTGGAAAGAGAGGGTGGCTAGTTGCAGGTAGGGGCAGTCTGAACAGTGGGATTGTTTGAGATCTCTGCTCAGTGTGCAGACCTTTGGCATCTTCTCAAACTGATTCAGAGGTGGGAGGCTTTTCTGTACAGCTCTTCAGGAAATGCCATTGGAATGACTTCCATTGCTGCTTCCTGTCCCAGCCCAGCAGCAGAATTCCTGCCTGCTAAAAAGTGAAAGATGGAAAGAAATCTTTGCAGACTTTCACTCTTCACCCCACTTCCTCAGTTTCTGCCTCTCTTCTCTCCCTATCTTTTACCTATGCAGCGTCTCTCTCTGTGTTGTACGATTTGATTACATTTTTGAAGGTCTGTGATCAAAGCAGGAATTTGCATGTCAGAACTCCTGATCTCTCACCGCCTTGTTCTGTCACTGACTTACTCGGTGACTCAGAGCAAGTCCCTTATCTCCTTTGGACCTCAGTAAAAGGGCATAACACTTCCCTACTTTGCAGGGTGGACTGTGAAAATTCATGTTTGTAAAGTTCTCTGAGATCCTGGGATTCAAAAAACAAAGTACTTTAAAAATACCCTAAGATGCATTTCCAAACTATTTTTCACTGTTACCGATTCTCAGCTGTTTTCGTTAACTTTAGTTCCCCTGGTCTGTTGGTGCTGTTTGAAATTGGAGTTCAGGCCCCGACTGTGAGCTGCCCAGGGTCTTTGCATGTCTGTGTTATTGAGATGCCTTGTCTGACCCAGCCAGAGGGGTTGGGAATGGTGAGCCCTCACTCACACCATGGAAATTGCTGCTTTCTATGCATGTGCCTGACATGCACACACCTTGTTTCTGGATCCCTAACTGGATGTCAGAAACTACATAAGCCTCCCTTTATATAATCCAAATGGGAATGCACCCAGTAGGCCCTCGGGGGGAGTGTGGTGGAGGCTCAGTGTGGTGGTGTGGAGGCTGAGCCGTGATGTGATGTTTCAGGGCCTTTGCAGCTCTTCTTTGCTCTTTTCCCCCCCGCCCCCCAGCCATGTTGTTGAGTGAAAGTAGGAATGCTGTGGGAATAGAGTCCCCTTCTGAGAGAACCAGGGGCACTGCTCTAGGGCAAATAACTATTTCCCTAGCAGCTACTAAGCCTAACCAGTCCTGGGAGAAACTGGATTGGCAGGGTTGGGAGGGGAGGTGGGAATGAGGATGGGCTCATCCGAGAACCTTAACAAAGTCTGATGACAAAAGTGGGAGCCATCCCTGATTGATGCTGGTTGTTTCTGAGATAACAGCAGAATTGCTAGGTAGAGATGTCTCCCCACCTCTGTGATGATCTGTATACTGATGGCAGTAGGAGCTGTAACTGCTGTTGGCATCCTCCAGGGCATGCTTAAGTGGCCTTCTCTCTGCTGGGTGGTGCTTTTCTCTCCTGCTGCCCCTTCTGGCAGGGATGCTGCTCATGGAAAACCCTTTGTTCTGAAGTGGCTAAAGACTAACATTGGTAACAGGGAAGGGAAGCATTTGGTCCCTCACAGACATCGCCTTGGTTGGGATGGGACCTGGGATTGTCTGTTTAGCTTTCCTCTCCAGGGCCAGAGTTTGTCTCTGAACATTCCCAGAACTCCCCTGGTCCTATCTATGCTGTGCCAGTGACAATGACAGTCTATTGGCACAAGACCTTCTTGCCCTGTGGCGTGCACTTAAAGCTGGACCTGCGAGAGCTCTCTCCACTTCACAGCATCAGACCCATCGGTCTGTTCCTAAAGAAGGAAGTGTGGCCTCGTCTGAACGCACAGGGCAGCTTCAGTTGTGTCCTCTGGGGCAGTGTTCGTTGTTGTAGCGTTCAGGTGGGGGGATAAGGTTACAGTTTGCCACACAAGCAAAACAGCCTAAGCTGACTGGAGGGCAGAACCGTTAACAGATGGCTCCAGCTGGGGGTTACTGGGGAGCAGGTGTGGGTTTCGTGACGGGAAAATTTGAAGAGAGACATGTTGATTTTGAATTCAGGAGGCCTGTAAGGTTGTGTGCCTTCTGCCACAACTCGCATGCTGGCAAGCTGGGTGACCTAGTTATGGTGCAGAAAACTGCTTGCTTTGTTTTTTATTTTTAGGCATTTCACTTATTTTTATCCTTGTGTTTATTTTAGATAGAGCGCGAATACAGGAGCGCTCAGTGCTGGGAAGGGCAACCTCCAGGAAGAAACGCCTAGCATAGCTCCTCCATGCAGCCAGCATCTTTACATCCGCACGTGTTTTCTCCCAGGCACGTGCTCACGTGTACTGATCCACTGCTGTCTCTTAGGATCCCTTTAATGGGGACCCAAATGCCCTCAGTGCTGGCACCTGCCTCAAGGGGAGGGAGGGAGGAGTGGATGGAATTCAAAGGCCTCTTCGGAGTTTTAACCAGAGAAGTTCCTGCTGCCTCTGGGATTATTTGAATGCAGTGGTGGTGGTGTTTGTTTTTCCCCCTTTTAAAGGGAGCGGAGAGTTGAATGAACCTGGAGTTGAATCTGCTCTCCTGATTGCAGTGGGCTTTATACCCTGTGGACTAACTTGCAGCCTCTTCTCTCTCCCAGTATGAGAGTGTCAGTGTCCTTTTTTGGGGGGAGCAGCACCTGACTGGAGAGGGAACAGAATGCACAAAGAAGGGCAGTACGCTGGGTCTAGTTCACGGGACAGCCTGATCATAGAACAAAGAGCAGCCAGTTTCTCTTTACCCCAAGTACTTGGCCTCCAGTTGCCATTCAGACTTGGGAAGCAGAGACTTGGAGGTAACATTTGCATCAGAGGAGCTGAGCTACTCTGTAACTTGGACTTCTGAGGGAGGTCAACATGCAGCCAGAGCTTCTGAAGCAGGATTCTGTCGCTGTTGTAAACTGTGCATGAAGGGATGGATATGTATAGCGTACTGTGAGGTGCCTTGCCTGTGACGAAAGCAGCAGGTGCAGGCTGGGTTGACTTGTTGGTTGGAAATAGAATCGTATGCTTGGGCTGAAGAGGGGGCAATGGACAGAACTGTCTGTTTGACAGCACAGGTGTCTGAGCACCTGGAGGCCCCTTACAGAGTGGGGACAAAGGGGGGAGAAGAATGAAAGATCTCTCCTCCCCCTCTTTCTCCCTCCTCCACTGCTGTTGATACCAGTGCAGTCCTTCACCTGAAGCAAAGAGCTCCACACTAAACAGAGCAAAGGTGAGGGAAGCACAGGGTCTCAACACCCAGCCACACATGGGAGTGAGCTGCCAGGCTTACCATTGTGTGCACTGGAGTTAGAGGAAGGGCTTGTTTGACTGCTGCATGCTGGGACTGGTCAGTGCAGAGAGGAGGGGAGCATCAGGACAGCTTCCACTCGGATGGTTTCTGCCCCTTCTGGACCATTTCACTGGTGTTTTGGACATGATCTTGGGCCCACTCACAAGTCCATGGGAGTTTTGCCATTGGCTTCAGTGGGAGCAGATTAATGGCATTCCACTGGCGGGAAAGCTGTGGTAACGCTTTTGTCTCAGGCAGTGACTAGCTGTGCTGGCTAGTGATCCCTGGCCAGGAAATGGAGGCTGTGTGCAGATGATCACGAGTATCCGTCAAGTGAAGCCCCAGCTTTGTGTATTGAGGGCATCTGATTTGAACGCCTGTAAACCTGTGGCCATAAGCGCTTGGTTATTCTTATTCCATCCTGAAATGACGTGGCTCACCAATATCTTCTTGGATTAAACAATTATTTGCTTCCAGTGTGTGACAAGGCCCAGAGCAGAGTGCTGCAAAGGAGCCCTCCTGCTGCAGTAGTTCCTGTTGGTCAGGAGGTTTCTTGCTAAGTGACTTCATGGGCTGAATCACTTGAGACTTCACATGGATTAACAGGAACTAAATGAATGCATCTCCCTCCCCTTCTCCGGCTCCATCCCAGGGCGGTGTGGGAGGAGGAGGTCTGCTCAAAGGGTCCCTGGGACTTACCCAAGAGAGAGGGGCTGAGACAGTCTATTTAAAATTGGAGTGGGTCCGTGTGTGGAAGGAGGAGCGGGTCCTGATTTCTTGTCTGTTCCCAAACCTGACCATTTTCCCAAGGCA